ACAGTTGTTACTAACCCAGAACTGATGTGGTGTCGGAATAATTGGAATAATTAGTTCCCAACTGGGAAAATTAACGTGAACGCCCCCTCTGGTCAAAACAACAGCTCAGAAAGTTGGCATAAATTTCGGTACACGAGTTGACGTCATATATGCAGAAACATGACGGATGAAACCAAATGTTCAGTCGATGGTAATAAACTTTTTATTATTAATCAACTCATTTATGAAGCCTATCCCAGCTGACATTGGGCGAGAGGTGGGGTACACCCTGGACAGGTCATCAGACTATCATGGGGCTCTTTAATTATCTAATTATTGCATGTCACTTGTTTTGCTCTTATGTAAGTTGTCATATGTTATGAGTTGTTGCTAGTTGCTCTCCAGTAGAGCAGTGGTTCCCAACTGGTCCAGCCACAGGGTGCAGACTTCTCCTTAGTCGTTAGCTCAGGGTCCACACAGTTTAACCCTATGGGCCTAAACGACGCAAAGCGTGTCCAAATTCACACCTGTTCTTCTCTATGGATTTTCTTTCATCATAGCGAGACACTACTCATATCACGTGAAATCACGCTAGTCCAGTGTTTTCACAAGGAAGGAAAATTATAAAGTTACACTTAAGTTATGTATAACAAAGCTTTCATACTGCTTTGCACACACAGTACTCTTGGATGGATTACTCGTGAATGCAGGGTCGCACAGAAATGCAACACATATCACATGAAAGCGCAGGACCAGAGCTTTCCAATGATACCACACACATCATTGTGCTGTCATCCCATCACGCTATAAATACAGATCAAGTGTCTACAAAATAAAAACCTGACGAATTTCTTTACAATCCATTATACAGATCTTGTTATCAATCACTTCATATAGTGAGGAATAATATCATAACTATTTTCTATTATGTTAGATGTAAATATTGCATGTTTCTTTCAGATAAAACACATTTTTTCACTTGTGAATGAGTCAATGGAATTTCTTGCAATAATGAAAAAATACTGGCAATCATGTCCGCCTGGCACAAACCATATGTTTTGGACAACTGTGAAGTGACAGAATGTCCCAGCATCATGGTTCTTATATTGCCAGATTCCAGAGAGTCTCCTCTCTTCAGATATCACAGAATATGTCTACTTCCAACTTGTTATGGTGAGATACATGTAAAAATGTAAGACATAATTAACACAGATTTTTTTCTCCATTGATATAAAAATCAATATAAAATACAGGCACATAGAAGGACATGCAATGAATGAATCAAATCTGGATAGCCCAGACTGTCCTGAAAACAAAACAAAACAAAAAAGATATAGCATGTGTATGTAGCCTTTATAATGACTGTGATATCAGCTTAAAAGTAAAGCCAGTAAAAATACCCCAAAAAGGCCTCTGGGACTAAATCACTTTGTAATATAAAAGCTTTACACTGCTTAAAATACGACACATCTTCTTTGTAGCACCCAAGTTGTTTCCACATTACAACTAAAAGTTCATGAGGACACCAAAGCCGGAAGAACAACTTCCCAACTTGTGAAATGAGACCATCCGCGGAGCACGTGAATGTAACTTAATCACATTAACAATGGCCCATTTCTATTCAAGTGTCATGGTAAGTCATGACAGTGTGACAGCGAGCCAGCGTGCACAATACCAGCACCCTGAAACTGAAGCAGCGAAATGAAATTCAGCCACATTTCATTTTATTATTCACACCTGTGTTTTTCCTACTGTAACATGTGATAGTGAAGGCCGATGGTGCATTTGGTGCTTTGTCTCAACAACAACACCTTTAATTTCTTCACTTCCTTCAGGAAATATATACTAACACCACCACAGCATGTTACAAAATAAAAAGGAAAAAAATCTACAGTTTAATGGACACAAATGGCTGTGATTGATCAAACTGTTTATCTGTGATTACAGAGCGCTTAATTTGATGCACTAATCCTTCTTCTGTCTCAAAAATAAAAATGTGAAAACACAAGAGCATGCCAAACCAAAAAGCAGTGATATAACCCCAACCCTAAAGCCGTGTTTGCCCATTAAGCAAAGAGGGAGATGTTGGTCATTGAAAAACCTGGCAAAAAGCTATTACGAAAAGGTTACCTGGCTGCAATGGTGCATCATAGCAGCTTCCAACGCCTCTCTTCCTCAATATAGTGGATGAGTAACTGAACATTTAAGTGACAACATGTGAAAAGCCCTGTTAGCAAGGTTAGAGCCAGCACTGTTTTTGGCCATGTTTGCCATTGCAGCAAAAGTTGTCTCATTTGAGACGCCTCTGGAAGGAGATAACAGCGCACACTCTGACACCACAAGCCAACACCTCCTGTCTACATGTTATGGCTGTATGTGTTCCCTTTGCTGTTGTCCCTGTTCGCTCTCCTGTAGGTCTGCACAGGTGTGCTGCATTGCCTAACGAGGTGCACTGCTCAACGAGGTGCACCTGGGATGAGGAGGAGGTGCTTAGCCAGCAGAGGAGAGAGCCTGGGATTTTATTGTCTGGTATGCTTGTCCTATCTTACTATATGACAAAATGTCTGTGTGTGTGTTCCACGTTTTTCTCCTCACTGACTTGGTCAATCCATGTGAAATTTGGCACAGTGGTAGAGCGTCATGGGAGGATGCGAATGAAGCAATATTACATCAATTGGCCAAAGGGGGGCGCTATAGCAACCGATTGAAATTGCAAACTTTGAATGGGCATATCTCATGCCCCGTATGT